AGCTCCGACGATGATTGAATGTGGCAGATCTGTCCCTGTGTGAATAGTTGATCCTTCAATTAAAAGGGAAAAGAGAGAACAGCTCTCACATTGTGGAATAATGCCTTATTACTGTTATGCTCTCCTAAAAATGGAAGCAGGGTAATCGAAAAAAGAGTGTGCGGGGGAAATTCTACCTGACAAACGGAGCGGAGGTGTTTCATAACCGTTACACCGGGTTTGCTCGAAACTGTCAAGCAGCTTCCTAAGTGAGTCGCTGAATCCCATTACCCACGTCTCACACTAAAACGGGGCATTTCCAGGAAAGGCAATTGAAGCACAGTTTGACTTCTTAAAAATAAATGCATTTCAAAATAAAAGTTTCTTTAAAAAATACTGTATTATAATTCTACTTAATTCATTGTCTTATCTTGATAGTTAAATTGGTTAATACTTAGAAACTGGAGTCTCCACATTTGAATGTGGAAATAATACCTATTTTATGGGCTGCTGACGAGAATTAAGTGTCTGGCACATAGCTATAAATGGTAGCTATTGTTATTGCTATTACTATTATTATTTGTGTTAACAGGAAACCAAATCCTTTCTTTGCATGAGGGGAGTACTTAATATTTACATGCACACCTTCATGTTCATATATTATAAAAATGTGTTTACCTTCTCTATCACCCTCAATGTCCTCAGGACAGCATCTATCAGGTGTGTATAAAAAGACCTACAGTCCATTGGTTTCTCTGAATATATATACTCAAAAAATGGAACTAATTCTTTTAATAGAATTAGTTGTCCTCGCAGTACTATGTTTAAGTCTGCAAAAATAATTAACTTCCTGAAACTTTTCTGTTCTTACTGATATCACTGCCACTGTCTTGACACACAGCCATGAATTCATTCTCACAGAGCTGGCCCAACCCGGAAGGCTAGCTTATGGCAATGCTTCTGTGGGTTCCTCGACTGCTCTTTCTTTGCTGGAGACCCCAGGACCCTTGTCTAACCTAATGGGGCCCAACTCTCTTGTCCTTCTCTTACCAGGCCCATCTTCGCATCACCTAATCCTGATGGTGGCAACGACATACCCTTTCACATGGAGGCAGCCAAGAGCCCCGGCCTCACGCATGGCCTCTCTCTGGACTATGCACTGATGAGCAGGTGACGCCAGGGGCCTGGACCTCCCAGAGCACACATAGAGCCTTCAGTAGGCCAGGGGGAGATGCCTTCCCCCCACCTCCGAGATCATCCCACCTCCGTTACACAACGAGGAGACGCGCTGTAAATGTGCATTTGTGTGTACTGTATGATTGCGTATGTATATGCCTCTCCCATCAACACAATTACCATTTTATTATTGTCTCTATCTTCAGCGAACATTAATGCAGTCAACAGCTGCTTAATGCCCATCTACTCACACCTCGTACCCCGCCAAGTGCTGTGACTACAATGATGAACTAGGGACATAGGGCCCCCGCCCTCACGTGGGTCACAGGTAACAGGGAAACTGTTTTAGGGAAATGTTCTCAGGTATAGAGAGTGGATAGTGACAAGGAATTGTAAGTATTCATAAAGAATAAGAATTTCCTATTCTGTATTTTAGTGTTTTTTAATTCACTGAATGTCACTAAATGTTACTGACGTATAAGTTTGCTGTCGTCAGGTATTATGCTGACTTTAGCTAGGCAGACTTCAAGTGCGAGCAAAACATTTATTTCCAGACACTAAGGCCTAAGCTTCTGGGAGGGAACATGGCTCATGAGACGCTGGAAGCTCTGGAAACGTAATTCTAATTATGCAGTTGCAATCCTCACAAGACAGGTCGCCAACGGATTAGACAGTCATTCCTTGTGCTACTTTTCATCAATGGCTAGTGGCTTCACACAGGAAGGGTCGAGGCCCTACAAAATGAGGAGCCCTCGTCCACCTCGGATCTAAAAGGAGCTCTTTTCAGAGGTTTTAAAGGTCCTGCCTCAAATCACAGCCTGCAAAGAACACCTTTGCCAGGGGGACTCTGGGACAAAGGGCTCTGGTTGGACACAGAGCCGGAGCCTGCACCACCTTTGTGCAGGTGTGGGGAGCCAGGGAGGAGAATGAAGCAGGGCTTATCCGAAGGAAAGCAAAGCCCTAGGTGTCAATCAAATGATAAGGAATCGGTGCTTCAATTCTTCTTGGCACACCAAGGCAATTAACAGCAAGTAGCATTATTTATAATAACAAATTCATGGGAGCTTAGGTGCCCATCAATAAAAGATGGGCCACGTGGGCTGTGGCTCAGCCACTGGGATTTCATGTGCCTTTCAAAGGCTGAAGTGGAGCACCACTTAGCTGCCACAGAAAGATGTTTCCACCATATTGTTAGGTAAGATTTATCACCGGGCGTTCTTGATAGGAGCTGAGCATTTAAATGGGAATCTGTAATGAAAAGCAGAGGGCCTGCCCCCTAAGCCACGCGGGCGAGGCCACCAACTGCCCCACAGGCAAGAACTGGGCATTCACACGGGAACCTTCCACGCCTTCAATATTTGTCATAAATAGGCATGCATTTGAAAATATACACACTTATTATGGAAAGTGGGTTTACTGTTTCTCAATGAATCTCTTCATGTGTATAAAGCCCCGGTGAAATAATCTATTTATGTCTATAACTGACTAACAGAGTCAAGACTTTGGAGGCTGGAACAGACCAGCCCAGGCCAGCAGCACCTGTGACAGAGTATGGCCTCTAAGTACAGGTGCCCATCTGGACCCACTATGCCTGAATGAGGACCCGAGGGATGGCACGGCCACACCCCGTGGCCTCCGCAGGAAGCTTCTTCTCTCACATGTTGGCATCTGCTGTGCTTCTTACCTTGTGGTTATTTGTTTGCATGGATATCTCCCCCAGAGACACTAACACACTCAAGAGGAAGGCTCCGGCAAATTCGAGGTGGTGTCATCAGAACAACGACACCTAGTAGGTCATCAGAATGATGACACCTAGTAAGTTATCAGAAATACACTCCGAATGGACAAATTTGGATTTTAGCACGGCATACGGAGGCTCTTGATGTCTTCTGGGTGATAAACACTAGCGCCTTTATGAGAAGACGCAGTTGGGGGGAGTGTGGCAAGAGAAATCGGGGTGAGCGAGTCACGAGTGCCACCCAGGCTCCTGGCTGGTGTGCGTGAGTGGCACTTATCAGTGAGCGAGGGAACACAGGAGAGAGGGCAGACAGAGAGGCAGAGAACACGCTGGATATTCCGAGTGTAAAGTGTAACTGAGATCCGTGTGGAGGTCTCCAGAAAGGCTGCTAAGAGGAGAGGTCTCAACCTAAGTTAGAGCCTAGAGATAGGGCATACAGGGTTGTATTAAATAGTCACCCGCATTTTGATGACCAAGTCAATGGGATGTTTCCAATAATCGGATCACCCCTCTCGAGGCAATGGATAGTAGACCGCAAATGCTGGTAAATTTGGGGAAAGTAAAGAGAGAAGTAGAGAAGAAAAAAATAGTGTGATGAAACGATTACTCTTCAAATATCTAATCATTTTCCCACAAGAAACATTTTAAGATTCTGATAAGATGAAACACTGGAGCATAGAATATGATAAAAGTGTTAACATACATCACCCAAATCCCCCAAATTCTTATTGTTCAATGAATACATTTTAAAAAATGCTTTTAAATACACAAAACAGTATGTAAAGATTTTCTGAAACACAGAAAGTATTTCGCTATTCAACCTATGATTCCAAGTGCAGCCGGAAAGCCAGCTGCAACTAGCAACTGGCAAGAAGGGGAGTGTTCACCGGGAAAATCATATAGCATTTAACAACATTCCAACTGGAATAAATCATTAAGATATCCATTGCCACCCATGGACTAGTCTTCTTTGTGGAGCATGAAGTATGACAAGGTTTTTCACTGTTTAATGTAAGTATCAAACGGACATTCATTTATTTTTATTAGAAAATTTGTAATAGTGCAGGAATAACTTCAATAGCAGAGATAATCACTCACTTTGAGTATTAAAACTCTCTCTACCACCTCCAATATATCTACTGCATTTGCCAAAAGTTTAATTAAAATGAGATGACGGGAATAATTAATATCATAATAAACATAAGACAAACTAATAAAACTGCAGTTTTTTTTCTTTCATTCTTTCTCTCTAGGCTAAATGAGGCCATTTCAATGTTCAGTAATGAGTTACTTAAAACAGTTTCTATGAGATTAAAGTCTTCTTGATATTTATCTTAGGGAGGAACAAAATTTGATGTTATATATAAGCTTCTGCAGTTTGGAACAATGACCCTATGCTGTGTGAAACATAAAAACATTGTCCATCAACGAATCAAGCAATTTCCACCCCAAGTTATTACAAAAACTCTTTATAATAAGGTTTTATTCTAGTAAACTTTAACTGGCTAACAACTCTCTGAATTATTCAAAGATGTGTATACCACTTAGAAACATATACAATCTTTTTCACCTGAGGCAAGTGTACATGTATATGTATATTTAATGTATGCATTGTTTAAAAACAGCACAATGAAATACTTATGAAGATATTAAAAATATGGTGGTCCCAGTGATCTCTGTTAGGATAAACTTATTGAATCAAAAGCATTTTGAAATACAATGTGTGCATGAACTTTCTGCCTCTCTGCTTCTCTCTCCCAGAAAGAGTGAATGACTGTTGAAAACACTAAGTCATTGCAAATACAATGGCAATGTCACAGGGGCCTTCTTCCGGAATCCTCGCTGGTTCTCCTCACCTCTCCAGGAACATGCTAACAAGAAGATGCAGTACACAGGAACTATCAAAAGGGAGCACTTTTGAGCCACTAAAATTGTGTGTTAGCCTAAAAACCACAATCTCGCAACTACAGGCCAAGATGCTATCTCAGGTATTTTATGTGCTAAAATGATCATTAAAAATTAAGCTCCACATATACGCTGCCATTTAGACTATTAATTTACCTTTGCTAATCATCTTTTTGACTCCAGGCTAAAAGAGTTCACTTACCGTTCGGATGCTCAGGCTCCGTCCAGGAGATGTTGAAGGAGTGGGGTGAATAGGAGTGAGCTCTGGGGGCGGGCATGCCTTCCGGTGAGCAATCCTCCGTCCGGGCCTCACTGGGCTCACTCACTGCGCACCCGCCCCTGGTGCAAGCCTGAACGGAAATGGTGGGAAAAAGCACATTTCAGCCAGCATCCCAAAAGTTTAGATGGACACTGAAGAAAAGTAATTCGTACTAAGAGTTTTGGATCCTTTGAAATAAAGCTTTCTTTATCCCACAAAATAAACGTGTTCCACATTACTACAGTGTGACCAATATATTTAAAGTAGAACCGTGTAATCGAATACAACAATATTTCTCATAAATCAATAGCAAAGGCACTGGTGAGTGGCAGCTTACTGGCTTAAAGAGTCAAATCACTACTTATGCGCCCGAGGAAATGGGCTTTGTTAACCGGCTGAGAGACTTAAAAGGGTCACTCCCCCACACACACACCTCATAAGGTATCACTAACCCCAGAAATGGAAGGAAACTTCTGTGTGCACTTTCATAATAAATTCCAAATCATCCCCAAATAAACGTTTAAAAGTATTAGGAAAATATCTTCACTCCCTAAGTGGCTGGATAAGCATTTCTGCAGGAAATTGAGACAGACACAGAGATTTCTACACTACATTTGCTGACAAATATATCTTTAAGAAATAACACAGACATCTGAAAACTGCACTTAAGCTTTGTTCAGCGTCTCTCTAGGTTACAACTGTAATTTGCACAGTGAAATTTAAGGATCTTTCAAAAATGCACTAAATTTTACTAAGTCAGTAAGAAAAGGAAGAAAAAATCATAGGACAATGTAAAAAGCCGAAACTGAGTCCCTTTTCATGAAAAGTAGATATTACTAATATAAACAGTTAAAATACGCCTTTATCCTTTGGGCCTGTCCCTGCTTTTCAGTTTGATAATGAGGGAATGACCTTTGGTACTGAAAGCAGACGATATTCTTGTCCCTGAAGACAGGAGAAAGGTGACTGATTTGTAGAGATTTTTTTTTTATAGTGACGTTTAATATTTGCGAAATTATCGCAAACTATTTATTACAGGTCCAAATGACAATATATGGTCAATCGACATGGAGCTCTACCTCGCGTGCTATGGGAAAAATTCGACAGTGAGCCCAGGTTTTCAGGATAATTTCTCAGCAGCGTCAGCCAGGTTCCGACGGGTTAAACGGTGGCCCGGGCATGGCATTGCATTGAACCTGG